TGACTTCTGTGTAGCAGTTGGAGACAACACATAAACTAATTGAGGATTTCAGGTCCAATTAAAGGAAGGCATTTTAGTACAAGAGACTGCTCAGCAGCTGTGATCACTCATGTGCTCCTATGTATTGTTAGTGCTGTTCTTTCTAACAATTTCTTTGTTGTGCTTTTTAACGATGACCAGATCTTGCATGTCAACTCCTCTTTTTAAATACACAGACTTCTGCATTAGCTCAGAAGACACAATTAGATCTGTTGCTACTTGTTTTGCAGGGAAAAGAGATTAAGTGCAGATTAAGCTTTGGGTAGATTGGAAATGAAGGAAAACAAAAGATCAGAAGAACTTCTTAAAAGGGAATGGTTTGAATCTGAGCAGTTGTATTTTGGACCCAGTAGTACACCAGACTGTCAACAGCACAGTGAAGCTAACAAGCTAAGATCATAGGATCATTCAAGCTGGAAAGGAACCTCAGGAAGTCCAACCTTCTTCTCATCAGGCTCATCTTAGAGCTTAGAGTGTTACCATGTTGTGTCTTCAAAATCTCCAAATGCAGAGATTGCCCACTCCCTTTGGGCCACCAAATCTAGTCTCTCACTGTTTTCACTGGGAAAATGGTTTCCTTGCACCTAGTCTGAACTTAATGTGTTTCCACTCCTGCCCAGTGTGTCTTGTCCCCCGACTATGCCCACTGTGAATAGGCCACTTTTATCTTCTTGCTGACCCCCTTTTAGGTGCTATGGGGCTGCTATAAGTTCCTCTCAAGAGCTATATCTGCCCCAGGCTGAATGAGGCCTCATCTTTAAGCCGTTCCAGGGTGAGTGCTCAAGCCCATGCCATGTAAGGGGTTCTCTGCTCACTCTAGTTTATCATCATCTTTTCTTTTCTGGGGATGTAAAACTGAACATGATACTCTAGATGGAGTCTAGTGGGTGCTGAGGAAGGAGGGGATGATCAGTTTCTTCCATCTCCCAACTCTGCACCTTGTCACTCAGCCCAGGATGTTGTTGGCTCTCTTTGCTCCCAGGGCAGCCTGCTGGCTTGTGCCCAGCTCCGTCTGCCAAGATGCCCGGGGACTTTCCAGCAAAGCTGCTCCCTCTAGTCAAGTCCCAGCTGGCACCACTGCAGGGAGCTCATCCTTCCCAGGTGCAGGACTTGTCTCTGTTGCACTTGTCCCTGTTGACTTTTACAAGGTTCCTGTCAGCACATTCCTCCAACTTGACCAGGTCCCCTGAGGTGGCAGCCCTTTCCTCAGGCATAACAATCATCTCTGGCATTATGTATTGCCAAATTGTCAACTGAGTAAATAAACCATAGAAAGAAAGCAGATTCCTCCCGTCCACTTTAAATCTCTTACAATTGCTGAACTCTTGAAGATCTGCTTGTAGCAGTAGAGCAGAAAAAAAAATTTGTAGGCTTAGGTATTGCGTTTAAATTGCATTATCCCAAATTTGTGTTGGCCTGGCTTCTTTTTCTTCTAAATGGGAGAAAAATACATTATCTGGGATCAAGGTATTGCAAGAGCAGATACTCTAGTTCATACACAATGCAGGGTTTCTCTGACCAATACATTTTCTAACATGTTGCCTGCATGCAGAAATGTCAGATGCTGAGATTTCCTTCATTCCCTTGGAGGGTAACTGTATCTCACCATGAAGACATCTTTTCATTATACTAAACTTAAATGTATCTTTCCTTAATTTCCTCCTATTATTCCTAATGGCACCATCCCTGAGCATCCCAGCTCTTGGTGTTTATGTGGCAAATACTGCAAAATTGTATACTTCACTGGGTTTGTACTGCTATAAAATTCATAGCCGCCCAGTTGAATTTTTGCCATTAGATGTCACTACGTGTACAGCAGACTGTTTTTAAAGGCTTGATTTTTATTTAGCATCCCGGAAAAATGGAGGAGGGAATTGGGAGATGTAGGAGAGAGTCCAGTGCTGTAGTATGTTGGATATGCCTTAACTAAAAGCAGCACAGAAGGAAACGTAAGATTTTTGACTTAACTCCAACAACCAACAGATGATGCTGTGACCTTAAGCATATATAAATATGTTTAGCAGCTGCTGTGTAACATATTTATAAGTGTTTAGTGACCTGGAGGTTAATCAAAATGAGTTTGGTGATCTCAGCTCAGTTCTTAATGGACTCCACTTCATATTATAGCACTGATGCAGCACAATTTGTCACAGTCGGCAGTCTTTACTCAAAGGAGGCCTACTGTGGAGTGAGAATTAAAGGCTGAAGTAATACCTGATTATTTCTCCCTAAAGAAACTTTCCATTCCAAGCCATCATAGAGCAGAATAATATGTGGAGGAGCTCTGTACTGCTCACTGCACCCAATCTCAGAATAAAACAGCATTTACTCTGACAGGATGTCCTTTCAGTGTTACTGAATTAGCTCACTCGTGCTGCGGTCGGGGCTTGGATAGGGGGCCGGGAAAGGACAAAGTCCTGCCAGGGATGGTGCTGAGTCTTTTCACTTGCTGGGCTCTTTCCAGAGATGGAGAGCTGTGTTGGTTCCAAGTGCAGCATTACATAGGAGGATAAAAGGGAAAGGTGAAATTTCAGAATTAGGTTCTGCCATTCAGGTTCTTCTGGGTGCAGAAGCAATTTTTTTAGACTTCAGTTGTTTTCTTGCTGTCCTGTCCAAAGCCAATATATTCTTTTTATTTAATTTCCACTCTCCATCTAAACTGGAAAGAGTTTCCTACTTCTTGATTTAAAGCTGTTGTACAGCAGTATGCTTGCATGAGCTGCAATTGAGATTGATGTCCATAGTGGGTAACATGAAATAGGTTGTACCTCAATTTGAGACAATGAACAGCCCCACGGTTTACAAGATAGACATGCTACAGGAAGTAATACTACTGAAATATTAGTAGGTAAGGACCAATTTCACCTTACCTGCAAGGTGTGTGTCTCCTGTGTATTTTTAAAGTAAAAGAAGGACATTAAAGAGATAGATACCTGTAGAGACTTGCCTTTTCCAGGATCCTAGCCTTACTCCATAAAAGAACCTCTCAAAATCCATTACTTCATTTTTAAAGTATGAAAATACACTTGCACATTTTTTTTCATCTTCACTAGTAACTTTACCAGTACAGAAAGGATCTTGCTTATCCAGCATAGAAAGCATTTTTCAGCTAACTGCATTTGCTGAAACATAGCAATTTTCAGCTAAAAGTGGGGGGGGATGTTTAAGATACAGTATTTACATAAGAAAAGCTTGATTGTGTGACTGAAATAATTTAAAGTTTTTGCCAAATGGTTCTGCTCTCCTCTTTTCCCTTTGTAATTTTCCCTTGGAGCATTGCACCACTGTGCATTTTAAATCTTTTCCCTCCACTTCTCGTTGCAAGCTTCATCTGGGAAATGACATTGTATGGCAGTTATCTCCTTCATATCAAAAGAAAGCCTCTGCCTCTTTGCAAGAGTGAAGAAAAGTTTGTCTTCAGAGAGCAAAGGACAAAACTGACTTGGAAAAAGATGCTTTATTTAGATAACACATTCTCTTTTCCTTTGAAGAAATTCAGAATGTGTCAAGAAAAATTAGGCCAAATAGTGCTTTAATAGTCTTCCTTCTGTACCTCCTAAAAAAGAAATCTGTTTCTACCAATTGTGTTAAGAATCTGCCATGAGTTTGGAGAATACAAGAAGCCATTGAAGTTACCCAGGGTTCTTGATTTAGGGTCTTTTTGTATTTTTTTATTTCAATACTTTATAATAATTACAAGTAGAATTTCTACCAAAACTCTCATCTTGCTACCTGGACATTCAGCTTTCCCTTCCTGTAGGATGAAATTAAGTGTTTCATTTTTTGTAAGGGAATAAAAGTTGACAGGTACTAAAGCTGTGTAAAAGGGTGGTTGCTTTCTTGTTTCTTTTATTTGCAAAAGCAGCAGAAATGTACAGGGGACACACTGAAGAAAGTGGTCTGAGTTTTGTATTTTCCTATGTATTTTCCTATGAATATACAAGTAAGTATTTTTTCCATGTGTTTTTATTCATATGTATGATTTTATACGTATAAGTATTACTTATATACATATGATAATACATGCAGTCTTCAACTATACTAAGAAAAGGTAGGTAATTGTTTTAGGTATTGAAAGAGTAAAAGGTTGTTTTTGTAGTTGAATCATGTATTACATTGGGTTATCATGCTTACTTGGATTGGATTGGAAAATTAGATTATTTTCTTCCTTGTGCCTCAGTTTGTCTATAGAATTCAACAGATCAGGTACCAAGCATACTTAGATACTTCTTAGAACTTAAAAGTAGGTAAGTTCTAGACTTTCCAAATACTTGGTCTGAACATGTGGAGAATTATGCAAGAGCTTCATTTAAGGCAGTTTTTGTGACAAATTTAAGTCTTGATTATAAAAGCATTATACAAGTATGGAATTAAATTTCAAAAGCAGCATAGTTCTGCTGAGGTTTCTTGTTTCAATGGAGTGGAATATGTATGGAGTTTTTTGAAAGAGTGGACATAGATGACACATACAGATGAACATCATTCAACACAAATACAGATGCAGGAATCAGAAACTGAGCCTATGGTACCCATTTTTCTTCTGGTCATTTCACTGTTTATTTAACTCTGGCTAAAGGTGAGGATTGCTATTACATGGTCAAAATAGTAAGAATGATGATGCACTGGATATTTTTTTTATGCCGATGCTAGATTCTAATTTTGATTCCTAATCACATTATTGTCTACTCATAGGGTATATAATGTGAACTGTATTTTTCTTCTGATTGATAGTGACGTAGGAAGACTCGGTATACCTCTCTTGAAATTAGTCTTCAGACCAATTCTATTTCACATATATGATAATTAGCTCAAGACTAACTCAAAGCTCCTCACGTAGGTAAAATTAACTAATTGCTTGCTTTCTCCTTACAAACAATAGGTGATGTGCTCTGTGACAAACCACAGCACCTTCAGCAATGAGGTCTGTAATGAGATATTGTATGTGTGCTTTCCTCTCCTAGGCAAGGCAATTTTCCTGCCATGAATCAGAGCGGCATTATGGGATCCAGCTCCCCCTACACTCAGCCGATGAACAACAGCTCTGGTCTGATGAACCCACAGGCTCCTCCTTACAGCATGGCACCCAACATGGTGAACAGTTCAACAGGTAATGGTGAGTAACCTTCCAGCAGTGACCTTCCTCCATAAACCTGCTTAACTCTATCAGCCCCAGGCTGGTGGCAGAGGAACATTCTTCTTCATTTGATTCACCCCTTTTGGGTAGTTTGGAGTGATTTGAAATTAGGCTAAGTTACTCACTTTTTTTTTTTGTACAGTAACTGATACATGTTTCAGTAAGTCCTTCTGCACAGCACATAGATGAGTACAGTGTTTTGTACAGTTCCAGCATCACTCGGACTCAGCTTGACGTAGGTGTTGACTAGCAAGTATATGTAATTTTGTGTGTATGTGTCTGCAAAAAAGAGGAGACCAGCTTCTTGTTTTAAGAGGTTGCTTTTGTTTTTCAGCATTTTACTTGCTAAGGTTGCAATTTCAGATATTTAATGTGGTAGTCATTCAAAAAAAGATATGTGCACTTGCTCTAACTTGAAGATGCTGTAAGTTGAACACTTAACATAATTATTTTGTTTGGAAAAAACAGGCCATGTTTACTATTTCCAAAGTTTATACAGGGTTTCCTCATTTACTTAAGTATCAGTATATAAAATCTTACCATTACTTTCTTCTGAAAAAAAAAAAAATTATCATAGCTTTCTTTTGCCAAAAAGGAAAATAAGTGTATTCAATATAGCTCCTGGATTTATCCTTCATATCATGACTTAAGAGTTCAGAATTGCTTGTAGCTTTGTATGTGACTCTGAAGACAGGTAAATACAGTTCTGCACAAACGTGCTTCATGGTCCATATTCAGCTTGAATTCCTAACAATTATCCCCCTTCAAGATAATATTTCAGCGAAGATCAATTCTTTGATTGGGCTGTGTTTGGATGGAGTTTCAATGACCCTGAAGCAGATCCTCCCAAGTACTTATTCCAGTCATGGAGTTTCTGTGCATGCTTTACTGATTACATTATCCCTTTCAGAAGGGTTGGGGGTTTTGAAGTTTTTTCTGAAAGCTGAATAGGTTGTGCTAAGGTAATATGATGTTGTTTTGTAGTTGTTTTTGTTTCTACTTTTGTTTGTTTCTTAAGAAATGCCTTACTACCTAAGTTGTGTCTTACCAAGAACTAGGATTTTCACATCTTTTTCTCTACCCCTCTTAGCCTGTATGATTCTTTCATCCTTTGCATATTTCCCTGTCTTTTCTCCCTGCCAATTCTATATGTTCTGCCTTCTTTGGAAGAAAATGGCGACAGTGAGATGCTAGTGTCTAGTATGTCCAGAGAGTTTCTTTCCTCTACACTGGAGCTGCTGACACACTGAATAGTGTCTTATATTTCAAGATCATTTTGTTAGCATTTTAGTTAGCAGAAAAAAGGAAGCTGCTAATCAGTAAGATTTTTAAAACAGAGAGAAATTAACTAACAAAAAAAAGAAAAAAAAAAGCACTTTTTCCAGTGTTGGCCTGGAAGCTATTGGCTAGCCGAGACTGCACACTGCACCATCTGGATGAAGAGGGACAAGCTATTGAAAAGAGCATTAGATAATAGCTTGCTTTTTCCCCACCAGAGCTGTCCCAGGTAATATTATGTTTTGTTTGTGTAGTTATGTGTTTTGTCTGGCTTGCTGAAATAAAATTACTTCTGAGCATTGAAACTGTGCTATAAATTCTGTTTTGCTATTAGCAGAAGTAATTTTTCCACCCTTTTCCGTTGGCCCCCAGAGCTGCAAAAATAACCAACAGCAAACAGATGGCAGAGTGCCCTGCCTAAGAAGATTTATGTATTCCTAAGGAATAACCAGTTTAACGGAAGATTCACAGAGGTTTTTTTGTTCAGATAATTCAGCCATTCGTTATTTCATACAGTGGAAATCTGTTCAATGCAAGACCATTTATCCTAGCAGTCTTTTGTATGGGGTAGTCATACTCTTTTTATTGTGTTATGCATTCTGAAATATTGGATTTTTAATAATTTAAACATTTATCAGGGTTTTTTCTGCCAGTGCATTTGTGAGGTTTTCTTTTGTTCCAGCTTTATTAATTCAGAGATTATCCAATGGAAAGTAAGTATGAGATGAACTAGAGGAGTTCAGTGCACCTCTTTCAGTCTGTGTGGGAGCAGACACGCACATAGAATTGCTTTACAGGCCTCCAAGAGACACTGTTGGGGAGGAGATGGGGAGATGGACACACACAACACCAAAAAGAGAAAATTAGATGTGAATACACTGCTGAGTGCACATGCTGTGGGAATGCTTAATTTTCCCCTATCCAGACTCATGCTTCTGTTTGCGTCCAAAAAATGGAAGCTTAAGACAAGTGTAAATACAGTACTTTTAATGATAGTTCCATGAGCTGGAGGTGCACTTCAGGGTCAGTTCTGGCCCTAAATTTGATGAGGTGGAGAACCTACAGGTGATACCCATTTAGGGGCTTGAAAACAGGATTTTTTGTGGTTGGAAGAGCAATTCAGCTCTGTGGCTCCTTAGCTCTCCCTTCCTCCCTGCCCCATTAGCGTAAAATCCCACATCTGTCAAATAAACCAGGGTTCAGTCAATGTGGAGCACCAAAACCAAGTGCAGCTGAGTGATTGCTGCTGGAGTGAAGGCCTTGGTTAACTTGGTCACCCACACTGAGCATCAACAACTGTGGTTTCAGTTAGGGGCCAATGAAAAACTAAAGTGAGCAATAAGAAGTTAGTTTCTTCCTTGTCTGGGTTTTGAAGGGTGCAGTTTTGTTGCCTGTTGTGAGGAAGGCAGGTTTATTTCAACAAAATTTCATTTCAATAAAATGCACTTTTAGGTTTTACTCTAAAGTAGGAGATTGCTGATAACTGATGCAATTGTTCTCATATGGTGTTGGAGCTTCAGTACAGCTGTGTCTAACACTGGTTTTGTCACCCATTTTTAGTAGTGTTTATAACTCCTCATTACCAGTTGATCCTTTTGTCTTTGTGTTTTTTTAATTAATGTCACAATTGAAAGGAAAATCATGCTGCAGTTATGCATCCTGATACTTCAACAGTGACTGTGGATCAAACAGCAGATCACCAGCCTCTGCTGATGCAGAGTGGTTTAGGAACACAGAAATTACAAGATCAAAGAAGACAGATTCTTCTAATAGAGTATTCCATCCATAACAATAACAAAAGCTTCAGGAAAAAAGTGTCAGAATCCCTTCACAATTACAGAACAAGCTGACATTCAGAAAATTTGTATAACTGCTGCTGTCCTTTTATTGTATGATTTCACATTACCCGTATATATTTTATACTTCTTCCCCCTATTTTTCAAATTCCAGAATGCTTACTTTCCCCCTATCTGAACTCATCCTTCTTCTTGGGTCAAAAAAATGGAAGCTTAAGACTTAATTTTCAAATTTCAGCTTTAAAAATGCATATAATAAACAGGAAATTTGCAACTCCCAATATAGCTCATGCTGTGAGCTTTGTTAATTCTAGTGAAAATTATCTTTCAAAATAAGCAATATGAGGTCTGTATCTCATAGGTTTCTATATTGTTCTTGCATAGAAACTGGCATTCACAGTCTCTGCTACCTCTGGAGATGAACAAACTAATAAAAAGGCATTAATCGCCTTACTGTTCAAGTATACTGAAACCGAAACCTTTCTTTTTCTGGGTATTATTATTCCCAATTAACTTTTAACGTCATACTATTTTACATAAAATGTGGAATTTTAGGCAAAATTATTTGCACAAAAAGAATTAAAGGGACACTCTTTAAAATAATACTCAAAATCATACATATGCTCTGTATTTGACTTGGTATTTATTTGGATGAACCTCTAACAGGAAAAACAATATTTATGCAGGTGACATATTTTTTAGAAACTTTATTTGGTTTTTTTTGTTTTGCAGCTTGGTTGCATTTTTCTGAAAAATAGATACCTCAATTTATTTCAGGGTTTTGTTTTTTTCCTCTAATGGATATATTTGTAGGAGCTATTAATGCACATTTAGATAAACTTTCTGAGGTTGTCAGTAGGTGGTAACAGCAGAAGTGTCCCATCACCTACACTCCAAAGAAGTGATGCCCATTTTCCTGTAAATCAAGCCAGTACCTGCATAGGAGATGCCCACATCCCAAACTGCTTGTATTTGTCATTCCTTGGACAACACTTGTCAGCAGAAAGGCAGTGTGGCACTGAGATACCTGGTGGCTCAATCATCCTTTTCAGATTAGATCCCCAACCACCTTGGGCTGCACATATCCACAAAGCTGGAGGATCATTCATGGCAGGACACTGGGCAGTGCTGTTGTCCCTCTTCTGTGCTTTCAGTGGGCATCAAAGCAGTGGGGATCCTCTCATCAGCTCCACAGCCATTGATTCACTGCTTTTCTCTCTTTTTTGCAGAGGGACAGTGCAAGGGTTGGAAGGGAGAGAGGAATGTGTTACAAAGGAGGGAGTATTCTGTTCTGTAGAGCATGATTTGTTATCACACTAGCAATAAAGAGAAAAACAATGTTTGTATATTGCTGCTTCTACAGTATTTCATCATCTTCTGGGACTGGTAGCGCAGCCTTTAGCAAAAAAGAATTCTTTGCTGCAGTTTTACTCTTGTCAATATCTGCCTTTGAGTACATTAAATTCAGTGTGGAATAGTTAATTCAGGACCTTGACCTATACTTGCTTTTTGAAATCATTCTAGCTCTTAAATTCTTATAATAAGCCAGAGGCTAGTACTTGAAACCTATTCACAGTACGCCACAACACTTCTAGAGTCAAGATTTCCCTGTTATCCTCCTCTCTACAATGTTTTCTCCTTTGGTCTTCACTTCACAGGCAGAATTATTAGTACCTGTGTAGAAAAAGACTGTGTCTTATTTTAGCAGTTTCGTGACAATAACAGTATTTCACTGCTCAGAAAGGGTCAAAACAATGTTCTCGCTGTACCGCTTAGCTAAAAAAAGTGAAAGAATGTCTTCTCGCAAATCGCTGGAGAGTATGTTTGCAAGAAGTTACGAAACAGCATTTCAACAGCAGATAGAAAAATAGCTGTGGAAACATATTGGGTAAAAGCTATAGGGAAAATAGACAGCCTTGCAGTTTGCCAGTAAAATGCTTGCAGTTCTTCTCTTATAGGTAGAAAGAAAGAAATTATGAACTAAATAATTTAGAACAAAAAGTGAAACAGAATTTGGGTAGCCTTTTTTTTTTCCATAATTGTCTCCAATTCCTGATAGTTACATTTGCATATGCCAGCAAGAAATAATCAAAAGCCAAAATGAACCTGTATTTTTACATTTCTCAGCATGACTAAGCGAGTCAGAATGTGTATTACAATCTGCAGACTGGAGTTACTAGCCCTTTATATGAGGTGTTAACTTAAACCCCTCTGGAAGAGAGATTTCATAAGGGAGTTCTGATGGAACTTTCCTGTTCCTGGAAACAGGACTACCAGAAGTGAACACAATTTTTAAATTCTTTGTAATAGCAGTATGATGTGCCAACTAGATAAAAGTGAGATATCAGTAGAGGATTTAGCTGTGCAGAATTCTGGTGAAGAAGTGTGATTATTAACTTTGCTTTGTTTGACCTCTCTAAAATTGCTTTATAGGGGAAGGGTCAGCTTTGCTTGCTTTGAAACTAAAACCCAAGACTTCTTTTTTAGCACTTTCACAGCATGAAATGTGTTAACTGTTAAAATGGATTTTGTATAACAGTTCTTCATCCCGGTTTGAAACCCACTGTGGCATATATCTGACCATTTTGTACATTTTTTTTTTTTAAATCTCTGAAAGAAAAATAACTATTTTTTTAATTGTGAATTCAAAACTGGAACATGTTAGGCTGCCATCCTTCACTTGAGAATGGTCACAAGCTGCCCCAGCTCCTCAAGCAGAATGTAAGGGCAAAATGCATACAAATCAAATGCTTAGTGGATGCTGACTTCCCAGTAGCATGTTGACTGGCTGTTTTGTTGAGATTTCACACACACATAAAAATAACAGCATTTTTAGCTGATCCAAATAGATTTTTCTCTGCAGCTGCATCACTTGTAAAAGGCTTTTTGTTCCAATTCTTGAAGTCTGAAGTATTGCAAGTATTTTTTATTTTTTTTTTAAATCTCAATTATGATTTATGTGTTGTGATGACTTTAAGGGCTTGATTGGGCTACAAATGTGCTTTGAAAAAACAAGAAAATGTGCCCATGAAAAACACCGGCAGTTCAAAGCTGAATATTGAGCATACAGTTGTAAACTCACATGGCACATGGCCGGGTAGGTTTTTTTGGCAGAGCCAGAGTCTCAACCTGCAGTGATGCTAAAGATATTAGCAAATTAGCACTGCAAAGCTTGCCAGCGTACTCACTAGAGTCCTGCTCATGCTCTCACTGCTGTAATTAAAACTAATTATTTTCTAAAACATAGTAATACATGAATATGTGCAATAATCATTTTGTAGTGGGCAATCTGTGAAGTATTTTTAAAGCTTCTTCTCCCCCTCGTATCTTTGGCTCGCTGTGTGGTGTGCCTGCTGCCTGGTGCAAGCCAGCACTGTCATTTTGCAAGAGCCATGCTACTCTGGTAAAGACAATGATCCTGTACCAAGTCTTACATTTTTACATTTGGGATATATATTTTTTATTTTTTATTGTCTTTTAGGTTATTCTGTATGGTTTTTTTTCTACCTCATATCCTTTGAAAGAAGGGCATAAGGGGGATTAAAAAGAAAGGGAAGGTAATCCAGGCTTCCACAAATGCTGTTCACATGGTTTTCAGCAGGCAAAGAATTGCCTGGTGTCTTGCTGCTGTTTTCTGGTCATTTGCATTGATTCAGTGTCATGGCACCTCCTAGCATCTACTCTGCCCAATATTTTCTGTCTATTTGTCTGAATGTTTCTTCGTGTACCTTTCTAGAAATCCAAGAACCCAGCAGCTCTGCAGCAGTAATACTATACTTGGCATTTGAATCTTCAAATAAAAACCCTTAAACTCCTTTCACCCCTGGGAAGCAGCTCTATGCCATTATCAGAGAAAGACATTTGTGTGTTCGTTATAGTCCCACCTCATTTTGGCAGGAGGAAGAAGCTGAGTGCTGGTTCTCCAACAGAGCACAGTTTACAGCTTGTAATTCTGTAGTTAAGGCTCACAGTGGCTGAGGCATTCATATTGAAGTCGGTAGGGGCAGGAATTATCTGCTGGACACCAATCTTAATACAGATGTAATTGGAAAATGCAAGTTTTTCCTTGGATTTAACATGGCAAGCAGAACATGCATTGTTTTCATTTACATTTGTCTATTGCTAAAGGGAGAGTGCAGTAATTAAAATAGACTTGTAGGATTAAAATTTAACTTGTAGTGTTAAAATGTTGTGGACAAACACAGAGATTGTTGAAGAGCACCAGCAGCATGAAGAATGAATTCTACTCTGTTAAGTGGTGGTTGTTGCATGGTGCTTGTATTCTTTTCTTGTTTGTTCTCCTTTGTTTCCTCAATTCAACTGAAGAGGTTTCCAGGTTTCCGGATGCTAGAATAACAGGACAGAGGTGGGAAAACCTCTCCTTCATGTGGCGCCACAACCATGCAGCAGGAAGCGTGTTTTTGCCTACAGAGCCAAACACAGTCATGCTTAACTGTTTCTCCTGTTTTCGATTAGCACCTATGGGTCTTGCAGATATGATGACACCTGGTGAGTCCAAACTTCCCCTTCCTCTCAAAGCAGATGGCAAAGAAGAAGGAGCCCCCCAGCCTGAGAGCAAGTCAAAGGTATTTACCATCTTCCGCACGTGGTGTTGGTTCCGCCCGCAGAAGTCTGCTGTGTTGTCCTTCATCTCCTGGTTTTGTCCTACCCATTTCTGTTCTTTCCTGCATGCCTTTCCATTCATGTGCAATCTCTTTGTTTCTTTGTTTCTTTTTTTTTTCTTTTTCTTTTTTTTCTTTTTCTTTTTTTTTTTTTCTTCATTGTGTGGATCTGAAAGTTACTAGTTCTTACGGCATTTTAACTTGCGGGGGCAAAGCATCCCAAGCCAAAAGTTGCGTGGGTATTTGGCTGTGCCAGGTGGGTGGGAAAGAAGGGTCTTGCCTGGTTTCAATCCTTGCAGCCATTTTTCTCTGCCTTCAGTTAAAGCTTCCTATTTTGGCCGCAGCAGCGACATACTTCAATATTTTGCTTTCATACCTTATTTGATTAAATAAGGTGAACAGCTTGTTTTTGTTTCTTTCTTTCATAATGGGAAACCCATGCTTAGCATTTCATGTGCGCTTGAAGTAAGCATGGTGGCTTAGTTACTTTAGCCAAGCATCCAGCAAACTTTCCAAATTATACTAATTCACAATGTTGTTTTAATACCTTTTATATATATATATAAATATATTTATATATGTGTGTGTTTTCTGTATGTGTCTCTCTGTTTATATATATTTTATATATAAAAGTTGGTCAGTCTGTTAAACTGGATGTATTTTTTTTTTGTTTTTAATAAAGTTTGCCCTGCCTTTGTCATATTTTTTTTTTTGTATTCCTCTACCACAGGATAGCTACAGCTCTCAGGGTATTTCTCAGCCCCCAACCCCAGGCAACCTGCCAGTCCCTTCCCCAATGTCCCCAAGCTCTGCTAGCATCTCCTCATTTCATGGAGATGAAAGTGATAGCATTAGCAGCCCAGGCTGGCCAAAGACTCCATCAAGCCCTGTAAGTGGCTCTGGTTATTTTGGTTTTTGTTTATTTTTTGTAATTAATTATATTTTAATGCTTGCTTGTTTGTTCTGTAAATTCCTTTTCTTTATTATTTATCCACTAAACAGTTTTCTTTCTTTATAACACTGGGTACAAATTCTGCTCTCGGACACATGACTGTAAGTTCCACTGCCTGGCTTCAGTGGGGCCTGAGCATGCTTATCCAAGGGCAAAATTTGTCCCAACAGTACTTTGAAATAAGAAAGAGTAAAATTGTGTGCATCATGTGAGTGTGCTGTCTGGTAAAACAGCAGTTGTTGTGAAGAAAACATCCTTCCTGTAATGCATCAGCTTCCAAGCATGCCAACTGTGTTGTTAAGAAAAATTCCATTTCTGTTCCTGGGCCCAAACTCCTTCACATAACTGACTTCACTCTGGTTACTGCACTTGTCTTTACTAGGATTATTTAGGGAAAAAAAAAAAAAACAAAACAAAAAACAAAATGAGAAATCTTCTCCCCTACTGAAACAAATACCCATGAAAAGTCAAATTATAGACTCAGCATCACAAAAAAGTTGCCGTTTATATTTTTGAAACATTTTTAATTTTGAATTGTGTATTTGGAAATACAGCCATTAGACTGTCAAGGCACAGTCTAAACCAAAATTGTTTCTGATTTTGCTTCATTTGGTTATTTTGAAATAACCCAGACATTGAGCTGAAAAAAGACCCTGATGCATGTACATTTTTAGAAAACTATTTTATAGATGAGTAATGTTTAATCATTCTCATACAGGTTGTAAAGAAAAACCTGAGACAGATGTGTGGAGCTAAAATCAGATTTCATCATTTATCTTTTTATCTATATATATGCACACATCTAGAAAATCTGTATGCGTATATGGAAAAGAGAATGCAGATGTAAGACAATCTTTGGGGAGCAAATGTCCATCTGGTCATTTTTGCTTTGTTTGTTTTTTTTTTTATAATTAGGAATATATATGTTGTTCCTCTCTTTTTATCAAAAGTGGAAATGATCGTAATTTCTCTGTAGAAAAATAATGTAACATTCTTGTGCAGAATATAAAGGGGGTTTTCCCCAGTGTTAAAGTGCACTTAAGTTAGCAATAATTCCTTGGTAACAGTTTCTTCAAAGTGTTATGTTAAAGAGCATGTCTCAGGGCAAGCAGAGGAAGGCCAGTTAGAGGGGAAGAGATCTAACTATCCAAAACCCAGACATTTACAGAATCCCCTGAGCAAGGGGGCAGCATGGCATGAAATGTACCACTTAAATCTTTGGATTTTGATTTGACAGCAACTTTGACTCTCAGAAGGCAGCTGATGTTAACTGTTCCCACAAGGTCTCATCTTTTTCTTACAAGCATTTGTGAAAGGGTGACACCAAAAATTCTGTTAGTTTTCTTTGTAGTAATGTTTGGGGTATTACTTGTTTGGGCAGTTTTCTGGAGGAAAGCAAGAGAGTTATTGCAATGCATTCCTGAGCTCATTGCATAAACTGCATAGCAAATCCTGGAGTCATTATGAACATAGGCAGAGATTTTTTTGTGTAAATAAAGTATAGATTATTGACAGAGTATAACACTGGAAAAAATAAATGAGGAAAGTTTGCACTTTCAATTTCTTCTGAATGTCCTTCTCTCCAAAAGCTTCAGTTAGACACGGATAAATACAGTGCTTTGGAATGATAGAAAAATAAGTGCTGCAAATGAGCTGATCCCTTTTTACCTATGAAGGCCAGTGGATTAGATAACTTCATCGACTTCAACAGCAGCCTGACGTAGACTGGAACGATTGATTGCAGGCATTTTGTTACACTTGAAAACAGCCTGAATTGGTTCATTAAATCCCAAAGCCGCTTCATGTGCTACAACTTCTCCATTCCAGTAGAGGATAAAAGCAGGGGTGAATGGTCTCTCATTCACTTCAAGGTACCCCTGTGATACTACTAAGTGGATCCTCTCTTTCATCTGTTTCGTGTGGAAGGGAGGCATGAGAAAATTGGGAGAAAGAAATGTTGAACATTAGGTTTTGAGGCCTCTTTGGGTATGCCAGGAAAAGGACACTTCTGCTATGCCAGTTTTGCATATAAGTGCATCCCTGATAGTGGTGAGATAGTTCTAAAATTCTCTAAATAGACATTTCAAGTGTGGGTGTAAATTATACAAGGTCACTGCCACATGAGTTAAATAGTAGGTTAGGAAAACCCCATAAAATGCTTTTCACTGTCCATAGATAACCCATGAGCATGACATTGAATACACCTGGACAGTACTACACCTCCATGGTGCTAGCCAGGAGGGGTCTCCAGAGTCCTTCAAGAGAAAATCTTGACAAAGGAATGTGTCCTGCACAAGCCTCTGCCAGGGATTGGACTTAGGCAGTTTTAGCTGCCTGTGTATGCACACTCTGTCCTGTAGTAAAAGAGGTCTGTGTAACACATGTAATATTGGCAAATTCTTCGTTAAAGTCAGGGAAGGGAAGAGTAGATAACTGTATAAATATAGATCCTTAAAGATATGTACAGAAGCAGCTACCCACTGCCTTTCATGTGAAAATAACTCCTACAGAAATTTGTGTTGCTCTGAAGGATTCTGCAGACTCATCATACAAGGGTCTGCATATAATACAGTTTCAGTAGTGGGTAGGTGTATTGAAAAGAAAGTATGGGTTTCGACAGGTTTAGTATGGGAATTGGATTTAGTATCCACATACTTTGATGGAGTTTTTTTAATCACCATTTAAACACTGCCAGTATATCATGTGAAAGAGTGCTGGGGATTGCAGGCAGAGTAAATAACTAAATCACTAAAGGTACATGCCACAGGCTTGCACTAGCATTCTTCTGTCACCAAAATTATCAACATACTTAACCGAAGGTCATGATCTGTGTTCTACCAGCAATGCCTGGGATGTGCTCATTTTAGTTTTAAAATGGGATCTTTCTCTTTTAAACCCTTGTTTTAAGGGTTAATATTTAATATTTATAGGTAAATTTAGGCTTCCAGCTGAACCTGCCCGTGTGAAACTGAAGTTTGTTTGTGTGTATACTAGCTTGCACACATCTGTCATTTTTAGCCGTTTACATTTATAAAAATGGAGAAGAGAAAAAGATCTTTCCTCTTGAGGAATTGCATTCTTCCCTCCAGTGCATTCTTCTAAAGTTAACATTTCATTTTAGAAGAAAATTGCACCCATTTTACAAAGCATGACAACCTGAAAGCTCACACAGTAAGAAACACTTCTTACCTTCTGTAAGCTGTGAAAAGTTTTCAGATTATACTGTCATTTTAGAGCTTGCTGCCACACTGCTGAAAAGCAGCATCATTTGAGATGTATAGTAGAAAAATGCAGAAAGAAAAATTCTTAACTGTTTCTCTTCTGCTCTGAATCTGACTTGAAAAAGTGAATCTTAACATATAAAAACTCTGAAACTCTAAAACTGGTAAATCTCAACTTTCCTGATCATGGCTCACCATAAAAGTGAGATAGAAACTATTTTGTTGCTTCATGTTAGAATATAGGCACATAGAAAATTTGCTTGGTAAAAGCTGGAATTTCCCACCTTCGTTTTTGTAGAGTTCTGGGGCATCTTAACTGTCAGATTAAAATTGATGCTGGTCAGCAGTAGAGTAACTTTGTAGTTACTGCAGAAGGTAGTAGGGTAGTTCCAGTTCATTCAGCTGTTCAAGCCTATCTGTGATTGTGTATCTGGCGCTCACCACAACATCAAATTAGTAGCAACATGACTTCCCTACTTTCCCCTTTCCACGCACCCAAAAAACCTTCCCAAACTTTGACAAAGTGTATTTGTTGCTAAGAGTTAAACTGATTCTCTTGAACACTCAGATACATAGCAAGTCATACTTTCAGTAAATTGGTTGCTATTACAGAATCAGTTTGTGCTTTCTTTGCATAATTTGCAGGATTCCTGTCAATGTACTTCCTGCCAGCCACTTAGTATTAATAAAACAAATTTAGCCCTGACTCTCACTTCAGTAGGAGTTGTAACGCAACTAAGTCTGGCTGAAGTAAATTCAGGCATGCACCTCATTTCTAAAAAAGGTAATCATATCTCCCTGTAGGAAGGATTGCTGTGAAGAAGTTACAGTGTCAGCAAGGCAGAAATCTTTAAAGGAGGCTGTTTATTTAATTAAAATGAATATCCATTCACTGGAAAGAACAGCAATGGCTCATGGAACTGCTAGGTCACCCCCCTTGGCTTCATGTTTCTTCTCTCCTGACTCTCTTCCAGTTTTGCCAAGTTGCAGCTGATAGCTGGAAGGAGATACAGAGTCTGTCATATTTTCCAGGCTTACATGCAAGATGAATGGTGGCAATGCTCTTGATGATTGGCAGTGGGGTTCTACTCTGCTGTATCCCTCTTTTATGGTGTTGAGGTCCAGGCCTCACCACTATGTGGGGACAAGGCCAAAGTTAGTGGTTCTGTAACATCTGTGAGGTACAGTGAGGATCTTTTTAGAGATGTTCAATTAGGAATGAGTTTCTGTTTACTTGACAATAGTCTGTCTTCAGTTCAACGTAAGGAAAAGGCAAAGGAGGGAAAGAGTGATTGACTAGATGAGTTTTAAGAAGTGTCTACTGCAATCAACAACAAAGTTTAGGCTTTCACTATACAGACATAAAGGATATGTTTCCTTTCACATATTTGGCTCCTTTCCCAAAGCTTTATGTCAGTCTTTCTCCCTTGTGTTTAATTCTGAACCACTCCCATCTTCTACTACTGAGCAAATCAGTTCACACTCTGCAAGTAGGAGGGTCTTCCTGCTGTAGCAGCAGCCCCTCTCTGCTGTCAGAGCTGAGGCAGCTTGGGTAGGGTCTGTGACAGGGTCTGTCCACACATGGCACAGAGCCCAGCTCACAGGGTTACATTGCACAGAAAAGATGGGGTGAGAATTTATAGCTTCTGTAGCAGCCTCAGTGCTTTCTGCTGTCTCTACATTAAAAAAAAAGAAAAGAAAAAAAGAGAATCAAACATAACATGAGCTTTCATTAGCTGTAATGCCCAAAGACCAGCAGGAAAGCAGGTTCACTCCCACCTTTTTGCCACAGAGATGGAATTCTGCTCTTGCCACCTCTTCTTCTTTTCCTGGTGGTGTCTCAGCTCTGATTGGTATCCATCCTTGGTTTTCCCCAGGTCATAATACACACTCCCTTTGCAAGGTAGGACAGCTGAGATGGATATCATCTGTACTCCATCAAGGGAGGAGAGTAGATGCTACTTACAAGCCACATTGGATCAGGCAGCTAATTGGCACTTCACAAAGAGTATTGCCACCTATCTCCTGGTACTGTAGGTGCTCTTGCTCATCTTGCTTTCTGGCCACAGTGGTGTGAAGTGGTAATAAAGTATAACCATTTGTGACTCTGAAGAGAGGACTACTTCTCCATATACTAGTTTGCCATGATTCACACTTCAGGCTATTTTTGTGCAATTCCTGCTCTGGAGGATCACTTTCAGGTTTTCTAGCTCATCTTTGAGGGTGAAGAGGAGAGGATTGGTTTGGTTTTAGGATTTTCTAAACTTGTGTGGGAAAAGCTTGTTTCTAATTTTACCAAAATAGTTGCTTGCAAAGCACTTTAAGATAAGTGGATGAGAAACACTCTGTGAGAGCTACCTCTTCTTAAGATGACATGAGGCAACATCAGAAACTTGCCTTCTGGGATCCAAAGTTCAGATCAATGAAAGAAATATGAAAATGGGGAGTTTGGGCCCTTTATTTATAAAGCTGACTTTTCTGTATATGGACAGAATGTACTGTTTGTGCCTGAACTAGTAGCCTTCATTCCTGACTGTTGTGTGATAGCTTTAGTTTGTTTGACATCTTCTCTTTTTCAATGTTGTGAGTTTCTTACTTTCTTTTCCCTTCCCCTCCCACCCTTCCCCCAACTCTTTCTTTTCTTCTTGCAATTTAGAAATCAAGTTCCTCTACCACAACTGGAGAGAAGATCACTAAAGTGTATGAGCTAGGAAATGAGCCAGAGCGCAAGATGTGGGTGGATCGGTACCTGACATTCATGGAGGAGAGGGGCACACCTGTGGCCAGTCTGCCAGCTGTGGGCAAGAAGCCCTTGGACCTGTTCAGGCTCTATGTCTGCGTCAAAGAGATTGGAGGTTTAGCACAGGTGAGAAAAGCTGGTTAAAAATGAACCTGCAAAAAGTCTATTCTTTCTTTCTACAGTATTCCTGCTGGACACATCATTAGGTTTTCAGCCCTGACAATATTGTTGAAGAAAATGGTTCCATGGTTTGATAGTTGTCTGGAGTTCATTTTGGGCTGCATAATGGCCCTAAAACTTTACAGTTTAAATCAAGATTGACCACTGCTGTAGACAGATGAAATTGTTGCTTTTTCAGGGGAATCTAGTAATGCTGCTGAGAGAAGAAAAGAGGATAAGGCCACTGGATCAAAATTATGAGTAAGAAGCAGATGACAGAGCTAAAAGGAAAAGGAAATTTTTAATTTCCTTTAATCACCTTTCCTATATAGAGATACAGCCTGTAGGACAATTCAGTTCATCTTTCCAGAGAAGCTGCAGACATACTCTTAAAACACAGTCCTTCATCCCAAATCTTTAAGTCTCTATATGGTATATGTGGTGTCTCTATATGGTATATTTGTTTCTTATACACGGACTGTGCTTTGTTTGGAAAATGCTTACAAGATATTTTGGGTTACCTTGCAAACATAATGATTCCAAGGAAAAGGTGAGTTACCTAAATGAGTTGAAGAAAAATGAAAGCAGGAAGAGCTGAGAATAAAAAAGTCACAGATGAGAAATAGAAGCCTTCATTTGCGTTCTCACCAGTTGAAGTTTTGCAAAGGGACGTTGGAAAAATATTCATGAATTCTATAAGGCTGTTTGCCAGAGAGCAAAATGAAATGTTTCACTGTTTAGCATCTAAAGGGAAAGCAGAAGAAAATGGTCAGTACTTGCAGTCTTAGATTTGGCATTCAAAGTCACCTGGCCTTGCCTGATGCTTGTACAAAGCATCCCTTGCAACTAGGGGATCACTGGCTAGACACCAGAAACTATTGTAAAGTGCAGAGATCCATGAGTTCTGTGTTTATGAGAACATTTGTTCAATACCTTGCAAAATGATGTCTTAAATACAGCTAACATGTAGATAAATACACATGTGTAATATTATATAAAATGTGATATTGAAACATACAATTCTATACTGATTACAAAATCTGCACTCAAAAATATGGCAAACAAATCAGATTCTCAAAAAGATAACTTATTTTCATAATCTATGTGGTTAGTTCAAGAAAGGAATGTCCAACATCAATTAGTACCCCTTTCAAAGCTATTTTTAACAGTGCACCTCACAGCATAGGATTTGACTACTGAATTAGTTCATTCGCCCTTCAAATCCAGGGATTTTAGCTATTCTTATTATTAAAGGAAGGGAGAGAAACCTAATGTAGTTCATTCTACCAATTGTTAAATGCTGTATATTGGTAAGAGATGTTATCCTGACATTTTTAGTGATCAGCTCATGCCCCTCAGCATCATACAGATTTGATTACTTTTAGCTCAGAAACTTTATTGCAGGTAAATCGTATCATGCAGCTGCTCTGCCTTGTACAGTATGATTGTGCCCACAGTATGACTGTTAGCATCAAAAATTGAGCAAGATGGGGGGCAGATGGGATATTCTAGAGAGTCATTCATGTTTGCTTATTATGGAAATTTATTTTATTTTGGGACATTCAGTGTTGATTTTCAGTGACAGACATTATGCATTGCCAAAGAATAGATGCTGTTCACTTAGACTGATTTTTGAAAAAGCTAAAGTTACAAATGTGTATGCTTCAGTACTAGTGAAAATTTACACTTAAAATGAGGGCTCCTGGTTTTTCTGGTGCACGCACATGAATGGTCACTATGTTTATCTGTTTAGAGCTACTCAGAGGTTCAGAGCTTTGCTTACTGAGTTTCATTTAAATGCCGTCCTAAAAAGCTGTTGCTCCAACTGCTGCACTCCACATCTCGTGACTCTTCCTGGAGAGTGTCAGTGGGTGGAGCTGTGCAGCAGTGGTGCATGTTCCCTGTCTGAGGAGTTGCTGTTGATGGGGTCCCAACATGAACAGACCAGCTGCTGGCAGTCTTCTTTTAAATGCCAATATACTGGGCATTTAGGCATGAACATTTCTGTTTGCATTATGCAATGTGTTCATTACGCACCACTTAGCTGTAAGCCAGTAGGCACAAAGAGCTGTGTAACTGGATTTCAAGCCTCAACAAGAGCAGTTTATGAAAATCTGGTCTCCTTTAACTCCTGGGTTCTTGCAGGATGCACCAGAGAAATAAAAACACGTGGCATAGCCATGCCAACCTGCTTGCTGTTAATGCCATCCTCAAAAGATATTTGCTGACTGGCAGCAGTTACAGTGTTATTAAACACTGAGAGAAACTTAAGAAAATGTTTTCTTTGCTGGCACACAGACAAAGGAATAGTATGGCTAATGATAATCTTTCTAGCTGTACAAGTTAAGATAGAGTCATTAAAATATCAGGCCTTAGGGCAAGTAGCAGACATCATGGAATCAGAATTACTACCCAGAAAACATGAGATTTCTCAGATGTTTAAAGCCAGTTTACTTTGGTGCTGACCCTGCTCCTTGGATCATACCTAGAAATTGCATAACTGGTTGAATGAATTTAAAGGCATCAGGTGTTACAGCAAAAGCAGTGGCTGCTACGAATGGTACAGATGAGTGAGTCAGTGGCATCACCCAGGATGACAAATGAACTTCGCTATTATTACAGTTCAGCTGTGTTTGAGGAACTCATGAGCAGAGTCTTTCAATATTCTCAGCCTTAAACTGCAAACAAGACTCACAGTGGAGTGGTGCGGTCAGCATTGTAATACAGAGTATTGCTGGACTAGCCATGAGTGTTTGAAGTCTGCCTTAATTAATTAAAGGGCCTGGCTTCACTCTGCCTCTCATCTAGCCAGAGGATCATTGATCTGTCCCTGCAAGATGCACTAAAGTGAAAGGAATTGACCCAGGAATTACAAGCTGAACTGTTTGACAGCTGGTGGCTATTTGGGAGAAAAATTTATTTTTCATATCAATGTTCAAACAAATTGCAGAATAACACTGTTATTGCTTTCTAAATTATATTTTAGAAGCTGCTTTTTAATTAGAATGGGGTGGGTGTGGGTGGGTGTCAAGGAGGGAATGAGCAGGAATTTGCTTAGAGATGGATTGCTAACTGAAGAGCACAGGCCCTGGAAGGGCGTAAGACATTTAAAGGATGCACCATGCAGAAGACTCCACAAGCAGAGCTTTTTATGTAGCTATCAGCAGGTTCCTTAATGGCTTTATAACTGTAAATGCTGTCTGTGCATTACTGCGTGTGGGAGTAATGAGCATTAGTTAAAAGAGGAAAATAAAAAAAAGTAAACCAAGACATTAAGTGCTTTTTCTTTTTTTTTCCTTTTTTGTTTCCTGACTTAAACAAAGCGCTTTGCTGCAAACTAATGATTCTGCCGTTTACTTTGCTAGGTTAATAAAAACAAGAAGTGGCGTGAGCTGGCAACCACCTTGAACGTTGGCACTTCGAGCAGCGCAGCCAGCTCCCTGAAAAAACAATACATTCAGTACCTGTTTGCCTTTGAGTGCAAGATTGAGCGAGGGGAGGAGCCCCCTCCAGAAGTCTTCAGCACAGGAGATACCAAGAAACAACCTAAGATTCAGCCGCCATCTCCTGGTAAGCCAAATAAACTGCAGCCTCTTACACAGTCATTTTTTGAATGCAAGGCATACTAGGTAGTTGCACCCTGTATGTTTATAAGCGTGTCTTGATAATGCTGGAAAAACAAGGATAAACCTGTTGCTGGCATCTTGTTCTCAAACTTGGAGCCAGCTCCTGAGTCAAATCAGAGTGAAATCTTCAGGGCCACCACAGTTGTGTGTCTGGTTTGTCCCTGCTCACTCCAGCTTACGAAGACGTGTGTGCCAGCGTACCCTTAACATTGGAGACATGGGTGTAATAAAAAGAACAGAGTTTTGCACAGATGTTAAGACAGGAGCAGGCATTTGTCTAAAGGTCAGGCTCTGGTACCTGCCCTTTCCTTGCTGTGACAGAAGCTGCTTTTCAACACAACTGTTGATCAGCCATGCTTCCGTTGGAGCAGGATGGCAGATGCTGGACTGATCAGCATGTCTCAGATGGTTGCTCTGATGCAGCTCATGTTGAATGTGTGGCAGATGGAAAGCTGAGGGTACGGTGTATCCCCACTGCCAGACACCCTAGTTTGCAGGCACGCTCTCTGCTCTTTTGTTGCTAATCCTGTGTATCAGGTAAGTCATTAGAATCACTGTTTTTATCTTCTCATCTGAAAAATTGGAGCTGGCATTGCTTTATTTTGGCTGTTCCTTCTCCCATTTATGGTGTGGTGCTTGAAACCACTGTTTTCTTTCTAAATTCATGTCACTTAAGATTCTCAAGATTTGATAGTCACAGTTGATACTGAATGCAGGACTATTTTTAAGTAGAAACATTTTAAGTACATAGTAAGAGTCATAGTATTAGTCTAGATGTTGCCTTCTGGACTACCCATGGAAGAGTAAAAAAATCCTTAAACTATTTTGGATTATTTCTTTTGTTATTAGTTTTTCTGACCAACAAAGTAATTTGACAAAATTTGCAAACTACTGCCACAGTTACTATTAGGCAGACCACCGTCACTTACTGCCAAAAGAATATATAATTTCTGGGATGTTTACAGCAGTTTCCTGCGGTAGAACACAGTTTTAGGAAAATGTCAATTAACCTAATTTCTGTTAGTGCAGTTCACTGGCTGAAAATGGGAAGTGGAGAGTCAGAGACCCAGCAAGCCCTGCAGACAGTTTGCAATTGCATGACTTTAGTACCCTATCATGGACACTGGAAAATTGCAAAGACCTTTATAGTCATATAATAAAGTTCTGGCCTTTCCAAGATTATCTCTTACAATAATGCTTTCTCAGTATAGAAAAAGATAACAGTGATAAGGCTTAAATCTTTCTCAGACTGTTTCATTCAGTGTAAGGATTTGAGGGAGTGTCTAGTTAAAATCCTCCTAAGCACATCTCTGTGTAATAACTTAAATATTTCCTCCACCTTGTTAAAACCTAGGGTTATCAGGTACCCCAGTGGTGATTGTTTAATTGAAAGGACTTGCAATTCAATTTTAGAAAATAGAGAAAAACACTCAGTACTAGAAGTAAAGCCCATAGTCCAAATGTTTATCTGTCTGAAATAAGCACCAAGTATCCTGAATGTGCAGAGCTGCAAAAAATAATATATATGCCCGTCATCTCCTGAGAAGACTGGTAAAGGAAGCTGAAATAGATAGTTAGGCTTGCTAAGGACAGTGAAGAAGAAATTAATCTGTCTCTAAAAATGAAAGAGTATTACTTGTTCTCTCCTCCCTTACCTCCTCTCTCCAGTACTCTCTCAGTAGTTGATTTGGGGATGATCACCATCAATCAGCTAAATTTTGAGATGAAGAATTGCTATTTAAATATGTAAACATGAAACAGAGGAATGGAAATGTCAGCTGTACCACTTTACAGGGTCCTTTTGCATCACGATGCTACAAATGAAAATGGCAAAGTCCAAGTTTAAATTTATCATAACATTCAAGCAAGCTGTCTTTGAGAAGAACTGAAACTATTTTTCTAAAATAAAAGCACAGCAGGACATAAAGACTAGAAATGGGGGAAGCAAGCAAGGATCTCAAGGTTTGTTTTGTTGGAGAGAAAAGAGCTCGTGTCACTGAATGGGACTGCACTTCTGTACAGAGAAAGGCTTTCCCAGTGTGTATCAGCTTTAGTACATGAAATCCCGCTGAGGTATAGATGCCTCAGAGAGTACAAGCCTGTTCTCTTTAATAGTCAGCTTTTTTCTTGTTCCTTTTCCTTTAGTATATACCAACATTAACATTTTAGCTGCACAAAAGAGGCAGAGTTGTAGACATACTTTAGATAATCTGTCACTCTTTGGCATTCAGAGGAAACGGGAGCCCAATACAACAAGAAACAGTAGCCTCCAAAGGTCCTTGCTTTAACCATTAGCCTCTCTTGTGCAGTTAGCTCAGTGTAGGCAGAGCCACTTAGAAGCGAAATCCATTTGCAGAGAACTAGTTACAGTATTAGGACTGAAGTTAATCTGATGGAAAAGCAGAAGGACTTGGCTCAGAGAGGAGAGTGTTGTATTTTGTCCAGTTCTAACAAGCTGGTGCTATGAAACAGGTCTTGAGATCTTAAAAGTCAGCTGAACTTCATACAACTTTGAAAATAAAATATTTCAATTACTCATAAGAATACATCAGGACTAGCAGCCTTTACAGTACAGAGAAGGATTCAGTTCCAATGTCATCGTAGTTCCCAGGTGGGTGGTTATGCAAGGTGGGAGCAGGCTGAAGTGCAGCTTAGAGCAAATCCGTTCTTGCAGATATCTCACATCCAAGGGGTGGTTATGTGACTGCCTCACAGATGACCTTTAGAACACAGGCATAGAGGAGTGCTAGGAAACACAGTGTGACAGCCATGGCGAGGAGATTCATATGGAAGAGCACGGTCAAGAAAAGGATGTGATGTGTAAGTCAAATTTATGGGACTGTGAGACAGTGGTCTGGGGTCACGTGTCCATTTGTTTGCAGCACTATATTCAGGATTCTTCTGTCACTTCTGGTTTTTAGAATATCACTATTAAGGTAAATGGTACATAAAGGATTGAATAATTTAGTGTTGTGTACAGTGAAATTCATGATAGTGTCAGCAATTATAAGTTGAAAAAAGGAGTGAGAGTAGAGCAGCCAAGTGGTTCTGGTTGGCCTTAATCAGCAGAGATTTGCACAGTAGCCAAGGTGTTAGGGTTAGGTGTTAATTTCAATAGTTCTTACTTCATAGCACTGTCAGAGCCTCTTCTGCTCTTTCATAAAGCTCCTGGGGTGGGGTGGGGTGGGGGCCTGAATGTGTTAGTGTGCCTTGCACTGCTCTGAGGCTGTGCAAGTTGGTGACGCATTTGTGGTTGGCTGAGGCCTTTGTGTCAGCCTGAATCTGCCTGGGTCAGGTAATACCATCAGCAGCGAAGGACAGCAGCAAATGCCTGATGACAGAATGACTACTGGCGGATCCATGGTGGCCTTCTGTCCTTATCACTGGGTCTGTGCCAAGGTCCATGTCAACTGCTGATGACTTTAGCTGCGTAAAAACTCCCTTAGAGAGAGAGGCATTGTAGGTCTTCCTCCTTTCCAGGAGTGGGCACAAAGACAAAATGCTTTTCCTGTCGTGTGTTTGATAGTTTTGACCAAAATGCTCACAAATAATGTGGGAAGTTCTAAACTGAGAAGAATTCTAGGCACCATTACTGTAAGCACTAACAGATGCTGGAGAAAAAATTCTAAAGGAGCATCAGCATGAAGAAGTTGTCTTCCTTTGCTGTACTCTGGCACTCTCTTAGTTGCAGTGTGCAGTTATGTGTGCACAACTCCCAAAATAACAGGCTCAGAATTTATCCTGTGTTGAATGAACAGGATGGCCAAAGTGGTCCAGCTGAGGATGCTTGTGAGTAACAGCAGCTGGCCCTGATGTCAACAGAGATTTCATTAAAGCAAACCTGGGAAAACCATACGCTTGTGCTGGACAGAGGGAGCGAGAAGGTGCCAGGAGTGTGTTGCCTGTGTTTCCTTGGCAGCAGAGAAACGAGACTTGGGGAGGGGGCTGGCGGGGGGGACACGACGCGGCACCGCAGGACACAGCCATTCAGTGAGTGCGCCTGTAACCAAACCCATCCGTCTCTGCTGGCGGGTGGCTGACTGAAGTGCTATTATTAGCAGGCAGGTGATGTCATGGAGCGTGTCATGAGGCCAGCCAGGGAATCCCCACTGAAGATGGATGGGCCAGGGGCTGGGAGGGGTGACTGGGGGGACAGGCGGAGGTGCCCCTGTGGCTACATCCACGCCTGCCCAGGGGGCCCTGCAGCAGCCAGCAGCCCCCAGTCCAGCCTAACTGGGGCACTGGGTTCGTGCTGTGTAAATTATCTTCCCAGCGTGATGGCTGGCTGTTCGCTCTGAAGTATGTGAATGTACTTAACCTTCAGTAACCTTTCCATTGTTTACTTTAGAGTATACATTTGTAGCTTCTGGCAAAAGGTAGGGATATCCTAGAGAGCATGTCAGGCCTCACATTAATGGAGTTTCAAGAGGTTTCATTCTTCTTTCCTTTTCTTTTTTTTTTTTTTTTTTTTTTAAGGGAAAAAAATTGCTGGCAAGGGGAAGGTTTTTTTTTTTTTTTTAGCTCAAT